TGGTCTCTTCCTGGTCTTCCTCTCAGCACTCTTCGGATAATGTGGAGTGGCTCCGAATTTCAGATTCCTCGGTGGAAGCTTGTCATCTCAACGAAGCGCTCTCCCAGAATCCCTTTTTGCTCTTCTACCAGCGCGTCGACTCGTCCGCGTCGCCGAGGACGAATGGATCCGGCAATCTGTCCATAGATTCAACTCGTACTGGCGCAGAGTACTGGAGAGCGCCTACGGGCTTCGAGACTTTCAAAGGAACACAGCTGGACAGGTACAGAAGAGCTCTGTCCCCTAGGATCGTGCACAATTGGAGCTCCACGGTATCTCCCGTCTCTTCGCCGCTCGCCACTCCGGCTCCTAGCGGCACAGACGGGCCATCAAGCTCCAAGCCGAATCGAGATGGCGCACAAAGGAGCAGTGTGCAAGGAGACGGCTCTGTCAAAGCTGCCTCGGAGGAAATGTCGCATGGCTCCTCAGGATCTGCTACTCTCGCTTGAACCGGTGCAAATTTCGAGACGTCACTCTGCCACTACCTCTGTATACTATCTACGAAGCCGAAATTGCCACACTTTACGTGTCACCGCGCTATGCACACTCTTGCAAGTATTTCTTCAGCAGTTGTGTTATTCAAACTCGTGTGACTCGCCATTCGCTTTGCAGTGATTCCTGAGCGAGGGTACTTTGCGCTCGAATATTACTGTTTTTGGCCGCCTACTTTCCTCCAGCATGTGCGGATTGCTTGTCCACGCCTCCGAGGCCCTTTCTAGTCTGATTGAGGCCATGCGCCTTGAGTCGGATGGAGGAAGTAGCGATGAAGCCACCAGCAGCTTCGACGTCGAAGCCCTCGACGACGTCCATGCTAGCGGCATCGGCGCTGTACAGCGTCTCGCTAGAAGATCTGCCCTCGACGATCGTGTTGCCCTTGTAAAGCTTCAGCCTCACATCTCCATTCACATTCTTTTGTGATGCGGGAATGGCAGATCGGACGAATTCGCACTCGGGAGAGTAGTAAAGCCCGTCGTACAGCTGCTGGCTGAAGCTGCGAGACAAGAACGAGTCGCGAAGCTTGCGGAGCTCTTTGTCCATCACCAGACCTTCCAGAGAGATGTGCGCGGTGCGCAAAATCGTTCCAGCTGGAGTCTCGTAGCACCCTCGGGACTTGAGACCCAGGAGTCGGTTCTGGAAAAAGGTGAAGAGGAATTTCGAAAGGCGCGCGTCAGCTCAATCGACATTGCTGTCCCGACCTTCAAATCCTGGTCGCCGCACCTCGACAATGTCCACTCTGCCGATACCGTGTTCCCTAGCCAATAGGTTCAAAGTGTCAAACACCTCGACAGAGTCCGTCACTTCCTTTCCGCTGCTTTGAATTTTGACCTTGGTGGGCAGACCCTTGGTGAACGTGATGGTGATTTGCTCAGGCGTGTCCGGTGCCTTTTCGGGAGACTTGATCAAGCCCCACATGTCCTCAGGAGGCGTGTGGTCCTGTCGCATATGCATGAAATGACTTGGAGAACAGTCAGCGTTGGGTGTCACAGCACACTTTCTTTATCAATCCATACGCACGGGGTCCTCCAAGACACCTGCTTCGTAGGAGCAGTGCATCGCATTCTCATCTGCGAGGAGGGGCAAAGAAGCTCGTATAAGCAGGCGCAGAGTCCCTACAGCGACTCCGATCAGCAGCTCACCAGTAGACCAGGGCTTCGCCTTGGTTTGGGCAACCGGGATGCCCTTGGATGCGGCATACTCCAAGAGCGCCGAGCGTCCAGCAAAGCGGTTGTAGAAAGCTGCGGGCGTAGCAAGGTCAGGGATTCAAGTCAGTGTATGCTCGTGACTCCGTGCGTCGAAAAGCCTTTCTTGATCTATACTCACAGGCATCGCGCCAGGGTGCAATGACCTTGATGTCGGGCTTGAGCCCGTAAAAGGCCAGCTCGAATCTGACCTGATCGTTGCCCTTGCCCGTACAGCCATGAGCCACGTATTGGCATCCCGTCTTGGCAGCGCTCTCGATCATTCCTCGAGCAATGACTGGGCGAGCCAAGGATGTACCGAGGAGGTATACATCTTCGTAGATCGCATTGACCTGCACTGCAGGGTAAATCAGCTCTTCGATAAATTCGCGGCGCATGTCCTGAGGGTGGTGGAGGAGATGAATGGAGCGAGGTAGGAGCACGATTAGCATTTGTTTCGGGATGATCAATGCAAGATATTCTTGGCTGCCCTCGGCCCCCAGAGCTCACTTCGAGAATGAAGTCCTTGGCTCCGCACTTGATCGCCTTTGTGCGAGCTGCTTCAAAGTCCTCGATCTGCCCGACGTTGGCCATGAAGGCGACGACATCATAGCCTTCGTCGATAAGCCAAGCCAGAATGGTAGAGGTATCTGCGAGAAAGGAATACTTGAATGAGCGGGCTGCGCACATCGACTTGGCGAATGACAACTATGGGGCGATGTGAATAGCCAGGAGACATGACTCACCCAGACCGCCAGAGTAGGCGAGGAGTACCTTTCCTTTGGCAGACATGATTGACGCGGGATTGTTGATGGATAGATATGTACAGCAGACTGAGCTATGCACTGATCTTCTGAGTTGGTGTGGTGGAGGAAGAGAGCGGAGGCGGAGTGTTGCACTCACGACTGCTGATATCTAGCCGCACAAGATAGCAACAGGCTGGTCGATGCTGTAGGCAAAAGTGGATGAATGATCGATCCATCCTTTATCTGCATGCAGCAAGCAGCTACGGAGGCACTCGATCGTGCCCGCTTTGTTGCAGCAGCCGAGTCACGCGCGCGCAACCTGTGCATTCAAATTCACAGCAGCAGCGACTTCTTCCAAATAAAAAGCGCCTCGTCAAAAATTGTTTGGGCGTGTGTTGTGATGTATGTGCACGGTGTGCCTTGGGCGCACGCGAAGCGAAGCCATGGGCGGGCCCACCGCGGCACGGCGACGGTCAACTGAAACTGCCTGCAGATGAGATCGCGCAGACCACC